TTACACAGTGTTTAGTGATGCTTTGCTAAATGGGCTAAGATGTGTTATGATGTAAAAGGGAAAACTTGTAGCATATACATCATGACAACTCAAGCCTAATGAATGTAACTACCCTACGCATGACCTAGAGCTTACCGTAGTGGTTTTTTTCTTTAAGGATTTAAAGACATTATTTGTTTAGAAAAAATGTCACATCTTCACAGACCACAAAAGCCTTAAGTATATGTTCACGTAGCAGGAGTTGAACTTAAAGCACATGGATGGGTCGAGTTGCTAAAGGACTACGACTGTGTAATTGATATGGATGGTAATGTACAAACATACAAGGGGCGATTAGTCGCTAAAGGTTTTCGACAAGTTCATGGTGTAGACTATGAAGAAACATTCTCCCCTATAGCTATGTTTAAGTCCATCCAGATCTTGCTCAAAATAAATGCATTCCATGATTATGAAATCTGGCAAATGGACGTCAAAACCTCTTTCCTTAATGGAAAACTTGAAGAGGATGTGTATATGACACAACTAGAAGTTTTGTCGCTCCAAGAAATGCTAGAAAGGTTTGTAAGCTACAGAGGACTATTTATGGACTAAAGAAAGCTTCTCGAAGCTAGAATCTTCGTTTCAATGATGCAATCAAAGAATTTGGTTTTATAAGAAATGAAGATGAGCCTTGTGTTTATAAGAAGGCTAGTAAGACTTGGTTATGTACTTGTTTCTTTATGAAAGATTTGGGTGAGGCAGCGTATATCTTAGGAGTTAAGATCTATAGAGATAGATCAAGATGACTTCTAGGTCTGAGTCAAAGTACATATATAGACAAAGTGCTGAAAAGGTTCAGTATGGAAGAATCGAAGAAAGGATTTTTGCCTATGAGACATGACATTTCTCTTTTGAAGGAAATGTGTCCTTCAACTCCACAAAAAAGAGAACGGATGAATAAGATTATATATGCTTCGGGTATTGGTTCTATAATATATGCCATGATATGTACTCAACCAGATGTATCGTATGCTCTAAGCATGACGAGTCGGTATCAAGCAAACCCTGGTGAAAATCACTGGGTTGTGGTTAAAAATATCCTTAAGTACTTAAGAATAACTAAGGATAAATTTCTTTTCTATGGAGGGGAGGAAGAGCTTAGTATAAAAAGTTATATTGATGACAGCTTCCAAACTGACAAGGATGACTCAAAATCGCAATCAGGTTTTGTGTTTTGTCTTAATGGAGGTGCTGTAAGCTGGAAAAAGTTTGAAGCAAGACACCGTAGCTGATTCTACAACAGAGGCTGAATACATTGTAGCCAGTGAAGCAATAAAATAGGTAGTTTGGATCAAGAAGTTCGTATCGATATTAGGGGTTGTTCCCAACATATCAGATGTTGTAGAAATCCGTTGTGACAATAATGGAGCCATTGCACAAGCAAAGGAAACCAAATCTCATAAACGATCCAAACATATTCTTTGGCGCTTTCACCTCATTCAAGAGATCATAGATCAAGATGTGAAAATATACAGAGTACACACGGATGACAACATTATTGATCCCTTGACGATACCTCTTACACAGCAGAGGCATGATCATCACACTGAGTCACTCGGTATTAGATATGTGAGTGATTGGTCTTAGTGCTAGTGGGAGATTGTGTGAGTATGTCCAAAGACCAATCATATGATAATTGTAATAATACATTTATTTACCGATTTTATTGAATAAAGGCATTGCCGCTATTATTTTCAGTTATATATATACGTGTTTAACATAAATTGGAAGATAATAAAGTCCATATAATGACATAATTGTTATTATTAAAAGATTCTTTGTCAAGTATTATTATGGGCATGGACAATAATAATATGCTTAAGACTAACATGTTATTGATTGATGACAACTAGTTGTCATTGACATAGAGATGTCAGAATTGATACATGATTATATTGTTAGAGAACAATGTATTGGATTGACCCACCATGAGCATATATCTTGGATTATTATGTGAGAGTTGCTCATGGTGATGACTATATGTATGATCCTCATACTTGAGATCAATATTATCCCAACATATATTGTTGTATGTTTTGATGCAATTAAACAAGCTCCATAATTGGTTGTTCTATAAAGATTGTTATTGAATATATCTCAATATATGTAGTGGGTGTATATGATTAAGATAAGATTTGTCCTTTCTACATAATAGGAAATATATCACAGGCCACTTGATTGAGTGAGACTGGAAACTCATGGCCATGCTTAAATAAGTTGATATGAGATATCACAAACTATTCGTTAATTAAAGTATACTATAGATATCAAGAAACAATAGATGGGTTATACAAGTGTGACTATTCCAAGACTTGTGCCTATTCTAGATATAAAGGACATAAGGATGTAATACATAAAAGTGTTAATCACCAAGATGATATGTCGAATCATATTTTCTTGTAACTTAGGTGACAATGATATTTGCTAGATGTCACTCATTGTATGTAATATTAGAATTGTTCTAATAATTATTGCTAACGTTACAAGAATCTACAGGGTCACACCCTAGGATTGAAATGAGCAAAGATGTACAATTTGTTGTACATTACTAAAATATATCTATAGTTAATATATGTATATTTGATATACATATGTTTTAATAATCCCGAATATTTAATTCCAATTAATTAAATAAAGATTTAATTAATTTGAAAATATAAAATCCCTAATATGATTAGGGTAACTTGGATATAAAAGGAGGTGTAAAGGTCTAGCAGTGTTTTTTGAACACACATAATCTTAAGCCGTTTTTCTCAAAAACAGTTTTGGAAAAAACAAATATTGCTCTCAATCGGGTGAACTGAGTAGAGATTGAGACGTGATTTCGTGGAGGCTTACGATTCGAACTGATCGACACCACCATTAGCCGTTGCGACCCTTGCTGTTTTTTCAAGGATCCCGCTGTAAGTATTCTTATCATTTCCTCCCAATTTCGGTTTATCGAACTTGGATCGCTGGTGAGACCGTCGAATTTTTGTTTCTGCTGCGCCATGGGTGAGCCGACGGTCCCAACATATAGAATGTAAATTCTCAATTGTGTATATAATTGGGTCTCCTTGATTGAGTATTATATTTTTATTTGAAATTCATGTATATTTGTAGCAGCTCACTATTTTCTTTGGATATAAAACATTCTATTTATCCAAAAACGAATTTCTGATATGAGAATTTGAAAATATTACAATTAGGGGTGAGCAAAACTCGACTTGATCTGAAAACCTGAGTTTTTGACTCGATTCGACTAAAAAGAACTCGACTCGATTCGAAAAATTGAAATTTTGACTTGATTCAACTTGAAAAAAAACTCGACTCGAATTGATTTCGAGTTGTAATTTCATAAGCTCGACTCGACTCAAAAAAAATTTCAAGTTCAAATCGAGTTGTCAAATGCAACTCAAATAATTCAAATTTTTTTAGTAATTAGTTGATTTATTTTCAAGTTTGAGCCGACACCTTAGACTTTGTATGATATATGTATGTCATGTATGGAAATAATGAAGAAATATATAAGTATTGTTTATATGGTTATAAAAAGTCACTTAAATTGGAATCAAATAATATTATAATATTATAAATATTTACAATGAAATTTAAATAGAAACTCAAAAAATTGACTCAACTGGAATTTTATAAACTTGACTCGACTCGTAAAAAATTTAAATCAAGTCCGAGTTGTAAAATAGGACTCATCAACTCGAATAACTCAAAATTTTTTAACTCGACCCGATCGAACTCGCACTCCTAGTTACAATTATTCCTTTCAATAACAATTTTCTATTTTCATTTTAAACACACTTAAACTAAAAACACCCTTCCGCTCCCTTCTCTCCACCTGTATTGGGTTTGATAAAAAATTATGTTGAAAAGTATTGTTGATTATTATGCCTTGTTTTTATAACGTAAGAGTTTACTGAATTTTAGAAGACTACTACTCAAATTATTTATCTCGTGTCACAAGTGTAATATTCCTAAAATATTTTTCATATGTTATCTCGGGGTTTATATTTTTTACTCACATGTTATCTTAGCGTTTCTGAAGTGTTCGTGCATGGAGAAAACTAATGTAAGCAAGAGTACAACTTTCTAGCAACCATGGATATACTCGTATTGTCGTATTCAATGTTTTTAAGCACGAAACTTCTATTGTGAAAAATTAGTAAGAATTGTTCACCAAAACGAACTACAAGAGCCTCATACTGTACAGTTCCTCCAGAAAGATGGTCAAAACACGAAAGTGCCTTGAAGTAATACACTTTTTAAAAGGAACTGAGTTAAGAAGTAGACAATTTAAACTTTTAATCATATATTAATAATACCTATGATAAGAAAAAGTAATCGAATTGCCCATTTTTTTTAGTTTTTTTTCCATTATATATATATATATATATATTCCATGTGAAATCGTACACGTTGATGTTCAAACTTTGATTTGTTGCGAAGTCCCTTTCATTATGAACGTAACTTGAAGAAATTAAATCAGGTTCATGTCAAAAAGTCTCGGCTCATCTAGAAAAAGGATGAGCTGCAACACCAAAGCATCCACCAAGTGAATTATAATAATTATTTTCCATGGTTTAGGTGCAAGGTAACTGCATTGCTATTTGCAGAAGTCCTTGTATTTGACTGGCTCATTGGTTTTAACAATATTGCCAACTTCATCTAATTTCTCCCATCCTTTTCATTTAGCTGTTTCCCATATGCGGATTACTAATCTTCATGTTTACATGTAGTTAAAACTCATAATGATAAGCCTACATGCATTTTTGGTTAGATACTCCAACAAGAAATGGACAAAATTAAAGCTAGTTTGGCTGGTATATTAGATTAGTGGAATTTAGTAAACTATAGACCAAGTATTAGCTGCCACGGAAGATTTTATTCTTAAAGCTGTCTTTTTTTCGTTTTTCCTGTATATAAGAGTTCCACATTTTCACTTACTGCCTGTGGAGAGACTGAAAGGCAAATAAAAGCTATACAGAAAGGGGGGAAAATGGAGGCATTAAAGAGAGGGTTGATGTTGTTACTGGTTTTCATGGTTTTGCAGAGAGGAGACGGGCAATTATCGGAGAATTTCTACAGGAGTACTTGTCCGAATCTAGAATTTATAGTGAGGCAACAAGTGTTCACCAAGTTTAGTCAAACGTTCGTTACAATCCCTGCCACTCTGCGCTTGTTTTTCCATGATTGCTTTGTCGAGGTACGTTCGAAGAGTAGCACGAGAGCGATCGAGTTTTTGTTCTTGGTTCCATCGGATGAACGATTTGCTCCTACAATTGGTGTTTTGATGTTCTTATAAAACTAATGTCATATCATCCCTACATGCATGTTTGTCATGCCTAATTTTCAATTTTACGGTACATATCAGGACATGAGTGTGGATTATGATCATAAAATGCTTGTTTTTTTTTGGTAGGGATGTGATGCATCAGTCATGATTTCATCGCCAAACGGAGATGCGGAAAAGGATGCCGAAGACAATCTCTCCCTCGCAGGCGACGGATTCGATACCGTAATCAAGACAAAGCAGGCAGTGGAAATACTATGCCCTGGAATTGTCTCTTGTGCTGACATTTTGGCACTTGCAGCAAGGGATGTTGTAGTCCTGGTAAGGCATGCTTACCTGCAAAACCAAAACTAGTCCTTGGAAATTCATTCCCATATTCAAGCAACCAAACTTCAAAACTTTTTCCAATTGGTTTGTTGCATGTGAATAAAATCTTAGGCTGGTGGCCCTTCTTGGGAAGTCGAATTAGGACGTCGAGACGGCCTCAGATCGCAAGCGTCTAGGGTAGCCGGAAACTTACCAGACCCTGAATTCAACCTTGCTCAACTCAACACCATTTTTGCCAGAAACAACCTTACGCAATTCGATATGATTGCACTCTCAGGAGCACATACCGTAGGCTTCTCTCATTGCAACCGGTTTACGAATCGCATACACTCGTTCTCTTCATCTTCTCCTGTCGATCCTGCTTTGGACCCGAACTACGCACAACAGTTGATGCAATTGTGCCCTCGGAATGTAGACCCCAGCATTGCCATCAACATGGATCCTGAAACCCCACGAAGTTTCGACAATGTGTATTACCAGAATCTAGTTTCTGGGAAGGGATTGTTCACATCAGATCAGGTGCTTTTCAGTGATGAAGCATCACAGCCAACTGTAAGTGATTTTGCCAGAAACACTGGTAACTTTAATGGAGCATTTATCACATCAATGAGGAAGCTTGGAAGGGTGGGAGTCAAAACTGGAAATGAAGGACAGATAAGAATAGACTGTACAAGATTTAATTCGTGAATGGAGAGGATGAATAACAAAGGAGTTTCTTCCTTCATTGAAGAAGACATAAAAATGATATAAACTTTGGTGTCAATGGTGGTTGTAAATCATACAATAAAACGAATTCAGTGATGAACTACCTTTCAAAGCTTCAACATGATTACCATTTCAATCGTACAATGAAACTCATTTGAAATTCTAATTAATTAATAACAATTTAAAATTAGTGCAGGGGCACACACAAAAGTATACCTAAAACAGGGCACATGAATTTTGTTCCAACATCATACCTCAGAAAGGTTAGACCCGACTCAAAGAACAAAAGCGACACAAGGGGTGCTGAAAAGAATGCACGAAACAGAGATAGTGGTTACAATTGCACTACATATATAGTAACCCAATATCACTTTGGTTTCGATTTAGTCATAATCTTTTTTTCTTAAAATTGTCACCATCCAAATAATTATAAGAGTAAACTACATATTTAGTAACCCAAATATCACTTTGGTTCCGTTTTAGTCTCAATCCTTTTTCTTTAAATTGTCACCAACGTTACGTTTTAGTTTCATTTTAGTTACCCACTGTTAAAAAATTAACAGAACTACTGATGTGGTTTTTTTTCTAGTTATTACATGGTAGTACCTTATAGTGACACGTCAATATCATCATTAATTTTTTAATAGTGGGTGATCAAAATAAAACCAAAACGTAATGTTAGTGACTATTTTACCAAAAAAATTATTAAATGTTCAAAACAACATCAAAATGATAGTTCGGTGACTAAATGTCTAGTTTACCCTTATTATAAAGGGATGATATAGGTAAGTTTTGTTCGTATAACTAAAATCTCACGGTAAAGAAAAGTATATTTGATAAACTTTATTTAGCTAAAGGGTGAAAAGGAAATTTATATTTTTTGTTAACTACACGGATTATCATTTATGTTTGTGTTTTGTCCACTTTTAGTCATTGATTTCAAAAAATATAAGATATGATCACTTTCAGTTTTTATTTAATTGAGACATGATCACTTTTATTTTTATTTAATTAAAATTTGATCATCAATGGTTAACTGTTGTTAACAATAATAGAAAAGTGACGTGATTGTAACACCCTTAACTCATACATCTCCGTATACAAGTCAAAGATGTCACATCAATCAGATAAAACATTTACTGTTCGAAAATCAGAAAAAAATTTGTTTCTTCTAAAATCAACCAATATAATTAAAATAATAAAATAAAATACTATTCATATCTAATAATATTTATTTATAAAACTAACATACATAATTTAAATCAAAAAACAATTTAGACATATTGAAGCAGAGCATCAACTAACTGTGTACATGCCAATTAAAATATCAAAAACATCGAAAGATGTCATACTGATTCTGGATGTCTGAACTAATCCCCAAAATATAGGATATTCGTCGTGGCTCCCTACTCATGTCCACTTCACTTTACCTACGTGTGAAGTAATCACATGCTAACTTAGTGAGGCAACAAATAATATAAGTAAAATAAATAAAATATTTACTGACAAAACATATGATATTGCATTAAAACATTATTAAAATAAAATATATATCATCATCTAAACAGATGCTCGTAATAAGAACAATATTATAAAAAAATTATAAATCAATTATACTGTGTAATTTTAAATGTATACTTTTCTATTTCATATCATATTATCGTCCACTGTATTTAATGAGAATATATGATACGCAAGTCAGATAACGAGTGTGCGCGCTATATACAAATTTACTGCCAATAACAGATAGCACTTTTCATGTTAAACAGAAGTATAGGTATTGTAGGACGCAATAACACTATACTGAATCAGATCTAGATGTGATAATTCACGACATCAAAGCATCATGAATATCATAATGCACATATAGTGCCAAACAAATGTACATGAATGTACCATCTAAGATCATTAATCAGATAACATATATCACTCCATCTCATAGCATGTCATTGAACCACTAACCCTCATTCTCATACAATGGACTTTATTATTAATCAATTACTAATTTGTATTAAAAAACAATTTAGATAATCGAATATAAATCATTCTCATAAAAATTAAATTTTGGGTAGTTCATACCAAAAAATATTAATCTGCTACAAATTAAAAAATAATAATTATATATTAAAAATATGATTATAAAAATATTTTCTTTTTAAATCGATCAAGGTTGACTCATCGCAAGTCATCTTTGTATTATTTTTTTATAAAAGATTAGTTGCACTCTTATGTTGCCTCACTAGCTTTATTTGCTAATATCGATTTACTTTCGAACTTTATCATTTTCTTTTAACGCACTTTGATCTTGAGAATGATCAAGATCTACTCGAATGTTTATTATTCTGACATATGTGAATTTCAAATATAAATTAGTACTCTAACTAAAATAATAAACTCATATTCGAATAAAATTCTAAAAATTGCCATCAACACATATTCGATACTAATTTTCTTTCATCAATTGAAACTAATTTTTAATTCTAATCAAACAACCTTTCAAATCCTTTAAACTATCATTTATCATAGCAAATCACCAAAATTTCAGTAATTCACATTTAGATACCATTTAACCTTTCTATAAAATCATCCAAAAATTTTCGAAATTGTTCAACTTAGTCCTTTGACATTCCACTAATCAAAATCAAATTCCACTAATTAAAAGTATCAATATAATATTTAAAGCCCCAAACTACCTCCCTTCAAAATTTTGCAGACTTCCGATTCGATCCGTTTATCTGAATATTTTACCAATCTTTATCGCTTAGTAACTTTTATGCAAACTCCAGATCAAAAATATAAAATCAACTAAATATTATTATTGGGCTGAAATACTCATTTAAAAACCAAAATAAATAAATTTTGAAAATTATTTTTTTAGTCCCTAAACTTTTACAACTTTATACTTTGGTCACCAAACTTTCAAAATTTACATCTTAGTCACTTATCCAAAATTTTTGGGGTATTACAATTCTTCCCCTTAAGAAAATTTGTTCTCAAAATTTCAGTTCATTCTGATCTAAATAAACGAGGAAACTACTTTTTCATATCTTATTCTCGTTCCCAAGTAGGTTTCTCAACTTTATGATTTCGCCACAAGACCTTAACAAGTGGAATTGATATAAGAAGAATCTACACTCTTCAATGGAAGTGAATAGATATCCTTATTGTTGCCCCGATCTAGGAATGAAAAAAGCAATGCCCTTGAATTGTAAGTATGGCTGCAACAAGAAGATAAGTAAAGAGGATTAGTAAGGATATAAAGGAATGAATAAGTAAATAAATGATGAAATAAAGATAAGAAAGAGTTGGCCATGGAATTGAACATGATGATGTTGATGGTCTTCAATGGAAGATGGTTGATGGTGTTGAAGTTGAATGGATGATGGTGATGAAACTGTATCTCAAACACGCCAAAGAAGAAACTATACTAGATATCACAACCCCGGTCTTCACAAACTTGCTTGATGGATGGTAATAGTGTCTTTAACCCACTAGATATGAAATCTAGGAATTATAAGAATCAAGATGAAAGGTTTTCCACCACAAGTATAGAAATATACTTGCTTAATCGATAAAGTTCTTAAAGAACTTAGAAGAGAGACTAACTAACAAGAAGTTGTTTATAATATGAATGAGATCAGTACAAATGAAAGCAACCTCTCAATTTACAGGAAATAAGAGGGCTTGGCCGAATATGCACCTAATGATTTGGTAAAGTACATAACTTTAATGAAAGTACATAATGCTTTAATTGAAATAATGAGTCCCTTGTCATGGTGATGGTTCAACTAATCCTTCATAAAAGAACATGATGTTTCGGTCATGCATGAATAAACCTCCCCTTGGACGAATGGTGATGTTCTTGTTCTTTTTAGTGCCAAAGTCATCTCGCTTGGCCGAATGGTAATGTGCTTGTTCATCTTGGCACCAAATTCATCATGTGTAAGGCATGAGTGAGCTGGCCGAATGGTCATGATACTTACCTCATGTCTCTTCATGATTTAAGCCTCCATTTGATTATATCACTTCACCAATGTGCACCTTGATGAGAGAGCATCTTTATGGACAACAACATTCATGAAAGGTCGCAACTGTTGGAAGGTAACCTTTCATGTTTGAGCTAGTTTTAAGGTGAATGAGCTAGAGGTAAGCTGGCCATAGGTGAATTGTAACATGATGAACGTTATGGTAGCTCTGTGTGGAAATGCACCTTTTGGAATGACAACTATTTGTGAAAAGGTACGATTTCACAAAATTTGACTTAGGCCTTATTTGAAATGTCCTGAGTGGTGATGATGATGGTGTAGCTCCCCAGCAGAATTGAAGTCATCTTCTAGCTCAAATCTTCAGCTCAATCCAGCTATAAGGTCACTGGTCTCCATACAACTTTTCACCAATTCTCTCATAAGTGTCCGCATATAAGTTTCCTTGTTGTTTCTTAGCTCAAAACAACTCCTATAGGTGTGGCCGAATGTACCTACATTAAAAAACATAGAAACTAAGTTAAGTAGATGAACTATTATAAAGTAATAATGATGTTCATATTATAAAGATATGGACTATAGAATATAATGATAACTTATGCCTCACATAATAATGAATGAGTTATTATCATTTTAGCTATGATGTAATATATATATATATATATATATATATATATATATATATATATATATATATATATATTTATGTTATAATAAATGAAATATGAATCATTGTGTAGAAAAATAGAAAGTTCCCCCTTGAATCTTATGAAAGGTTGGAGATGCAAGGATAAACATGATGTTGAATCAGATCACATCATCCCCCTTATTTTAGGCGATTTGTCCTCAAATAGAAATGTGGTTTCTCCATAGTGTCATTCCATCTAATAAATGCAACAGGTACCTTTATGAAAAGGTTCATGTCCTTTTAATAAGTGCTTTGAATGTCCATGATCTGAAAAGAAAGAAAACTTTCGTAAGTAAAAACATGATTAAACATAATTAAAAGCAAAATGTACTCCTTGTTTGATGGATGGTCAAAGATCATGTCTGTTGAAGACATATTGCTTTGAATGATTATGTCCCTT